GTTGCAGTTTCCTTTTATATTTTTGCAGATGATTATCTTACGGCTAGGAAAAAATGTCAGACTGCCGAAATGTTCTCGGACCTCTGTTCAGATACTGGTGATGAAAAATCCTCAAGAAAAAAGAGAACAAAAAAAGTTTTTTCGCCGGAATCCAGCCCCATTTCTACTAGTGAGGACGAAAAGGAAAGAGGCTGTAAGCCCAAAAAAAATTCATTACCACCGGCCCCAATTTTGGTTGGTATGTTGAGAAATTGATTATTATTAAATTTATAACTTCAATAGGTAATAAAACTTGAATTTTTTGAAATTAAAAATAATTAAGGTGAAAATATTTCTCCTGATAAGTGTTTTTGATAAAACCATGAAAATAAAGACACTTCGTAATTACATATTGTAGCACAGAAAAAATATCGTTCTATTTTGTTTTGTTCTAGAAAATCCTGTTCGTCTGGCTAATTCTAATGCAAGAGGTCCACGTTCAGATGCCAATAATATATTATCGCCGAAGGGATCGTCATCGTCTTCGACGTCTTCTCTAGGAAGTATGACATCGAATTTAGGATCAGCACTAGGAAATGGTCGAGTAATTGGTATGTCCAAAACTGCTTGGAGTTTAATATTTTATTAAAAAAATAATTTTAAGACAAAAGTTCATTTTATAATGTATAGTTTATAATTTTGTTTTGAAATCAAACAAGGAGGTTCTGTTCTGGTTAAAATATCGAAAACGTTTAATAGCTAAAAATTAACCTTTTATTAATTTTTTAGAACACCCTCGATGTGACAATACCAATGAAATCAGAGTGGACGTTTCAGCGACAGAATCAGGCTGCTGCAAGATGCATGGTAAGAGAGTTTTTGGGTATTGAATTTTATTTATAATTTTGCAAAGTATTTTTGATCAAAATTTGTTTCTTTTAATTTCAGGAAAGCTTTTGACAGATCTTGTCCGGAAACAAAACATTTTATTTCAATACATTAAAGAAATTCATGGCTATACAGTTGAAATGGATCAAACACTCAAAAAAATTGATACCAATAATAAACCTTCAGAAATAAATGAAACTTGCAAAATAAGTTTCATTAAAGATTTTAATTTTCCTTTAAGCAACGAAGAAGATTTAACAGGTTTTGAGGAGTATTTATCGAATGATGTTAATTATGCAATTGTTGTAAGTACCTATATATTCCTAACTCAATTTTCTATGGTTTTTGTCTATTTATTTAGATTATAAAAATACAAATGTTAAAAGTCACGTATTCAAACAGACATGATACTGATTTTTTAATTTTTCTTCTATCTATTCAAGGTTAAAGAAGTTGTTAAGATAGGAGGGATCGACATTAACCAATTCGTGAAACGTGGCCTGTCTTTCTGCATCTCAAACCGATTGGCGGAGACCTATACTTACTTTGGAAAAAAAGGGAAAAAAAAATTTTCAGAACTAAAACTATGCAGTGTGTTGTTTGGTAAGTAGTATATCATACAATAGTTTTAAACCATTTTTTAGAATTTAAAAACTGCTGACTGTCTTACTCGATTTTAAAATAAAAGGTACTTAGTTATACAAAAAATAGTAACTATTTTTTGTACTAAGGGCGTAAAATGCAAATTTAATGTCTAGCATTTTAAGCTTTTACGTCTATTTATTAATGCAAGTCGTTGAGGGTATATTATTTGCATTTATCAGTCTAAATAGTTATAGTTATTTTATAATTTATTGTTCCAGATGCTGTTTTCAAAAAGTTTAAGGATTCTTCTAGAAAGGACATTGAAACTAGTATCAAAAATTGGATGCGTAGAGCAAAAGAAAGGAAGTGAACACTTGTCTGCTATCTTCGTTTTTATTTTGGTTTGTTGGGTTCCTTTGAGAGTAAAACTTGTTTTGTTTGACAAAAAACAATATTTTTTTATTGATATTTTAGTAGTTCCTATAAGAATAGTCGTTTTTTTTTATTGTTAAAAAAAAATATATATTTTTTTCGTACTTCCGGGACTAAAGCGACAATTTCACTCCCTCATGACAGGGACTGAAGTGTCACTTTTTGTCCGTCCAGTATTTTCGACCGTATATGATTTATGTTATTTAATAATTTTATGTTAATGTTAATTTGCCAAGAATAACTGTTTTTTTTGTCTAATATAAAAAATAATATTTTTTGAAAGTTTGTTTCTGCGGTTTAGTTTAGGAAAAGGATATTATTAAGCTTTTTCGCAGAATTAAAAATTGAAAAACTATAGTTTCAGTAATAATTTCGATGCACAGCTCACTTAATAATATATTTTTTATTTTTAATTCTGAGAATATACTAAATAATTTTCCTTTTCCTAAATAAACCGCAGAATAATGACACAAACTTATTTTATGTAAATAATGTTTTTAGGTGTAAGTAATAAAATGATCCAATAAAGTTTGTTTAACAGCAATTTTTTTGAAATTTGATTTCCAGCTCATGTCCATAAATGGATGCTTTATGGACAACCATATTATGTCCAGGAGTATTCCATGAATGGCAGAAAAAATGGATGCCGCTAGAACATCCATAAAGTATCCAAAATATTCCATAAATGGCCTAAAAACTGCTGGACATGGTCATCCATAGGATGTCCAAAAGTAGTCCAGTGGATGCCTCGTGGACATCCATAAATGGATATTTAAGCGGTACCCCATGGCTATGATCTGGACATCCAGGAATGATCCAGAGCTGTGCCAACTGGATAGCCAGAGGATGTCCATGAGACATCCACTGAACTTAATCTGGATGTCCATCGGACTTCCTAGTATTTTTGCTTGGCCGTCCAGTGGACAACCAATGGATGTCTTATGGATCCCTCTGTGTTATCTGGGAATTATACAGTCCACTAATTATCAAGTTATTTATCTTCCATTATGTGGTTTTGCACACCTATTATTTATCATAAAATAAAAGTGCAAACGATGTTTACATTCACTTTATTAATGCTCTTCCTTTCTCTGATTTGAGGCGTTGTAAAACACTTGACACTCAAATATCACTTCTTCAATGTTATAATGTTCGATTTGTATTGTCTAGATTTGTTCTGCAACATTACAATCTGGCTACACTGTAGCCACGAGTTGCGCGCGCATGTCATCTTTTATTACTTTCTAACTTGTATTTATTACAATTGAGCTCTCTTTTTCTATTTATGCGAGGTGGGTCTATTCTGTCTATTCTCAAAAAAAAACATTTTCCTAAACATACCATTAGCTCTTGTCAATTCGGCAAACATGCGGCCTGGATGAACGTGATCGGTGGAGTTTTTGGCAGGCCGTTGCCTTGAGGAACAATGCGGTTGTCATGGGGCTTACGTTCCGCTATTGGCCAGGGTACCCGTAATTTTATCCTTTCATCTTAAAATATCCAGTGGCGGTGGTTTGGTCATAGTCGATTTTCGTGTACGAGTTGCAATACGATATTATACGTCCGAAAAGTTCCGCACGAAGCTGGGTAAGTAGTTTATGAATAAAGTCAGCCATTTTTTTTTACAACTGCATTTCCCTCACCGATGCCCCGTAGCCTCAGAATCGTTGGCCACACATTAACTTTACGAAATGTGATTTTTCGATGATACTCAAATCTTTTATCCACTTGTGAGACATCACTAGACTGGAAATTTTATACTTTTTTCAAAAATCGAATAATCCAATATGGCGCCCATAATAAAAATGAAAGTTGAGGCGGCTTACGGAAAAACAAAAGACGATTGAGACATGTCATACACGCTATCTCATTGGTCTTGAAAAAGTGTCTGAATAATGTCACATTTTGACAGCTGTCAAATTAACCGTTTCGGATTAACGGGCAAAAAACGAAATCCGTCATTTTCGGTTTTTCGCCGATATTTCCTAATCTAATTGAACGATCGTTATTCTGAAGCCGATTATCGAATTCACTTAGCTTCCTCTAAAACTTTCCCCATTTAACCTTTGCTGTAGGTATAATAGGAGCCGAGATCCCTGTATAGAGAAGCGAATCTGGGACACACTGTATAGGTAGGTATTAAAAATACTATTTCTAACTACTTCTTACGAAAACGATGAAATTTCAAAATTTCTTGTGTTGAGATTTTGTGTCCTAATGGTCTCTCGTGATCCCCTTAACTCCATAAACTAAATTATTCCGAGATTTGGAGCCAGATTCTATGAAAAAAGGCACTCAGAACATTTTGCACCCGCCCAATACACGCGCATTTCCTTAAAGAAAAACCAAGTCCTCTAGGTCAATAATGTCAAACAGATTTGAAATCAAGGCCAATAGCCAATACAAATTAAATAATTAATAAGGCAAACATAAATAGAGCAATTAATATAAATTACATATAAACAAACAACAAATAATGAATTATTGAAATTTGTGACTTTCTATGTAGGTATCCCTGTGATTTGCAATGGAGACTTTGCGTCCCATATCGCGAATTTTTGGAAAGTTTTTTGAGTTTTCACCAACAAGGATGTTTGAAGACATAAAAAAATATAGAGAATTTGCTGCTAGAGTTAATCGGTGTTTTGTGACCTACGACAGAATAGAGAACACAGATTTTGAGAAATATCTGAGAAAATATAAAAAATTGAAATTTTCCTAGGGAGGGAAAAAGGTTCTTGTAAAAATTTTCATTGTTCAATAATTCTCAAATCTTTTACAAAACCTGTATAAGTTTACTGTTTTGGGGTCGAAAACATCAGTTAACTTCTCTACCATTAAATTTTCTATATTTATGTCTTCAAAAATCTCCTTGCGAAAATTTCCATTTTTTGTAATTTCTCAAATATTTCCCAAAATTTGTGTTAACTATTTTGTTGAAGGTAGATATAATAGGACATCGATTATCGTCACAAAGCAGCAAATTTTCAATATTAATTTAGCTTCCTTTTATAAAAAATTAATTTGTTATAAAATTATACCTAGTTTTTTATTGGGATTAAACAGGGTGAAACAATAAATATGGGGGGGGGGGGGTTGGAACCATAAGAAAAAACTCTTCTTAATCAATAGTATTTTTTAATAAAATATAAAAGTTAAATACAATCAAACGAAATCTTAGTCACGGGGATGATGGTGACACTTAGTAGAATCCGTATCCACGATATCCACCGAGTCCTCCATAACCGCCATATCCTCCATAACCTCCATAACCTGGAAAAAAATTTAATTTTTTATTAAATTTATTCATGGAGAAGACTTTTCATAACAGAAACTTTAATTTTAATCAACAATTCGATCACTTACTTCTGTAGCCTCCATAACCTCCGTAACCTCCATAGCCGCCATAGCCTAAACCAAAGTGTGGTTCTGCTTCTGGTACTGGGTTAGCTTTGGCAAGGGCAATTGTCATGATCATGGCCATGAGAAGGATCTGGAATCTGGAAGTGAGAATTTTTTGATAAATACTAAAAGCCTATATAAGTACACTTACTAGCACAATTTTACTCATTTTTCTAGTTGATAAACTTTTTATTTTTGACTACGTAAGTAGATCTCGGTTGTGGTAGTACCTACTGATAATCCAAAATCTTTCGGTGGTACTTTTATAGTTTGTTAACTGGCTGATTTATTAATCAAAAACAGGTTTCAAGATTGTTTTCTGCAGAGAATCCAAAATGTTGATTATGCTAATAGGCCAAGACGTTACCGTTTGCGAGTGCATCTTCTGATTTATTTTGTTGGAATTTTATACAACAAATTTTGATTTTAAACTACTTTCTCAGGGTTTTTGAATTACTCAAAAGTAATTTGAAAACTGGCTGATTTAAGGATGAAGTTTATTGAAATTAAAAGTTTTAAAACTTCTTCTGCTCTACAAAATAGGAAGCTCATAAATTTGTTCGTCTTTTCTTATATTGTTTTTCTCCATATTACCACGGCATTACCACAACAACAACGTTTGGTACAAATGGTACATGGTATATTTTTCTATTGACTTTATTAGAGGGCAAACCTCTGTCTATATTCAAATCTATAGGTACATCAAAATAACTGTTGCTCATGAAAAACTCGTTGCTCGAACAACAGGGGATAAACCAAAGTCCAAAATAGACGTTTTATAACATTTTATTTGAATGAAATTTATTTTAGCTAAAAAAATGAAAAATTTCCTAGGGCGTCGTAGAATTCTATCAGTAGTATTGTGATTTTTGAAGACATAGAGCCAAGCAATATCGAAAACTTGATGGTAGAGAAGTTAATTTATGTCTTATTTTCGACTTACGACCTCAAAATATAAATAGGTAGGTACCTGCTACACAGATTTTGAGAAAGATTTGGCAATGGTGAAAAATTGAAATTTTCCTAGGAAAGTCAGTTTGTTCAAAAAGTATACTTTGAAATGTCTCCTTCAAATCATGAAAACCGCAAGTTCGTATCTTTCATAGTTTTTCAGTTGCATGGAAGAAATTATCCTGAAAAACAAGGTGACCTAATAAAAACATAGGTAATGAGAGAACAAAACAAAATATATGACATCTTAATTGTAGCATAGACCAAAAAAATCAAGGCAAAAAAGTATGCAAAACACCACTGACTACCTTTACATAAAAATGGTGTAAATGGCCAGGTCAGCTAAAGACAGAATATAATATAAAAATAAACCAAGTATCCTAGGTCAATGTCAAACCAGATTTGAAATCAAGGCCACGCCAATACAAATTAAATCATTAATAAGGCAAACATAAATAAAACAATCAATGCAATATTTAGGTAACTATTCTAAATAGTTACATAAAAAAATTATAAAGTGCGAATTAAATTAATATCAATTAAAAACCAACAAAATAGTATAATAAAGTATAAGTGGATATTAAGGTCTTTAAAACACGCGCGAATTTTACTCATTTTTCTATTTGACCAACTTTTTATTTTTAACTACGTAGGTAGATCTCGGTTGTGGTAGTACTGATAATCCAAAATCTTTCGGTAGTACTTTTATAGTTTGTTAACTGGCTGAATTATTAATCAAAATCAGGTTCCAAGTTTGTTTTCTTTAGGGAATCCATGTTGATTATGCTAATCAAGACGTTATACCGTTTTTGAGTGCATCATCTGATTTATTTTTTGTCTGATTATTTATTAGTTGGAATTTTGACTGGCTGGAAACAATTAATGTTGCGTGCGAAGTAAGATATGTAAATTATCCCTACTACTTTACACTTTTCACTGTTGCAATTTTTTTCATTGCAAAAAAGATTTATGCATCTTCAGTTGGAGGAATCTCTTTTGCTGACCGTTTTGTTTCTTGAGTCAATTTCAGTCTAATTTCATCAAAGTCCTTACAATTTTCCTTGTGGTATAGAAGGGATACATTTTCTTGCCTTTTCTAAACTTTCGTTCAATGGAACCTTTCCAAATTTGTCTAAATCAATTTTGTCAATATTGCGTAAATAAATGGCCCAAGCAGACTTTTTTCCCATCCGTCAAAGCGTGTAGAGCTGGCTTGTGCTATATGACCTTTTTCCATATAAATTTCTTTCGATTTTAGTGTTTCGTCGTTCCAATAGTAATAAATTAACAATATGAGAACATCAGTGACATCCGATTTTACCATCTTTGAAGTGATTTGCAGGCGTTATTATTATTTGTAGACCAAATAATAACTGAGACAAAATAAAGCTAATAAAATTCCGCAGTTTTTTGTCCAAAGGAAAAAATTATATCTCAACAAACAGCGAAGTTCTCTTTTAAATTGAATGACAAAAGCTATAGGTACCATCTTTTTGTCTGAAAAATGAAAAAAATACGAAATGTTACATGTCATAATAAAGACCAATGAGAAATCTTAAGAATCGTGAAAACATTAAGCCTATGACTTAATTAGTTTTCTAGTAATTTGGCTTTGAAAACAAAACCTATCAATTGACCATTCTCTACTTTTTCTTGAATAACTTTTATCTGGACCAAAGCTAGAAGTCGCCATATTAGAATTTTTTGTAGGAAATGTCGTGACTTTCAATATTTTTTAGGTATCATAAAGTTATACCGAAATATTATTGGGTTCATCAATAAAACTACGTCTTTAGAACGCCTGGCCGCCCGCCTATTAATAAAAACATAGGTAATGAGAGAACAAAACAAAATTTATGACAACTTATTGTATTGCGGCTCAGGAATCTCTCCTTGCAACACATGTGAAAATTTTGGAGTTTCTATATGCACAATTTTGTTCTCCGAGTTTTGCTCTATTTTGCTCCATGATCGGCGAGTTTTGCTCCATTACCTGGGGCTGCTTTCGGGTGCCACGCTTTGAGCACTCAGGCGCTCTGAAGCTACTCTCATTTTCCTCGCCTCTTTTTCCTGATGCACCTGTAACTGATTTTCAAGCATTTGAGTGCAAAGCGCATTGAGTATAATGGCCGTATTACTTGTTGTCCTTGTCTAGTCGACAGGCTATTAAGTATATCTCAATCGTTTTGATAGGTTTGGAAGATTCATAAAATCTGTCGCTATGCGTCCTGTCCCATTGGCTTCCTCTCCCCTTTCAGACGTCGTCGGTCATGATCCGTGCTGTGGGCTTCAACAAAGGCGGAGCACTCGTTCTCATGGAAACGCTGCTCCCCTGTTTCAAGCATAAGGACCCTAGAGATCATTCCAGGTAATGGAGCAAAACTCGCCGATCATGGAGCAAAATGGAGTAAAACTCGGGAGAACAAAATGAGCACGATCAAATTTCAGAATTTTCACTGGGGGGGGGGGGGCTGGGAGAGATTCTTTGGAGCTCTGTAGGTCTCTCCTGGTAATGGAGCAAAACTCGCCGATAGTGGAGCAAAATGGAGCAAAACTCGGAGAACAAAATGAGCATGATCAAATTTCAGAATTTTCACTGGGGGGGGGGGGGGGGGGGTTGAGAGAGATTCTTGGGAGCTCTGTAGGTTCCTTCCTGGAAATGGAGCAAAACTCGCCGATAGTGGAGCAAAATGGAGCAAAATTCGGAGAACAAAATGAGCATGATCAAATTTCAAAATTTTCACTGGGGGGGGGGGGGGGGGGGGCTGGTAGAGATTCTTGGGAGCTCTGTAGGTCTCTCCTGGTAATGGAGCAAAACTCGCCGATAGTGGAGCAAAATGGAGCAAAACTCGGAGAACAAAATAAGCATGATCAAATTTCTGAATTTTCACTGAGGGGGGGGGGCTAGCGTTAATTCAGCCCCCCCCCCACCTCATAGGCCACATAGTCTCTCCACTGTAATGGAGCAAAAATCGAAATTAGTGGAGCAAAATGGAGCAAAATGAGAGCAAAATTATGGGATAATTTTCATCCAGAAATTTTCTATGGGGGGGGCTAACTTAACTCACCCAGGTCAACCGAGGACAGAATATAATATAAAGAACCAAAAAATACGTATACTTATAGTTTTTTTTTGTGCTTCTTGTTATACCTTGAGTAGTTCTAGATCATCCAGCATTATGCCGCAATTTTTTTCTGTACTCAACTTTAAAAAAAGGCGGCGCTGAAAAATTCACATATTTAAACCTAATTCTTTTAAATTTCCCGGCCTCGAAAAAGAAGGGAAAGCTTTATAGTAGCTTCCCTTTATTTCAAAATTAAATTGCCCAAGCAACACATTAATTTGATTAATTGTATAATATACGTATAATCAACCATTTTTCGATAATATTTTAGTTTTCGTATATTCATTAAACGTTTACAAATGATTTATCGTCAACGTATAATTTGTAGACCTTAAATAAACATATATCATATACTACTTTATTACCAGCAAGTGTAGATTTGGGAAAACTAGATATGCTGTCACGCAAATAAGCAGTTAATTGTTAATAAACAATGTCACTATTTTGTTAAATTTGACGAAAGGCTCATTTTTCAACATCATGATTTTTTTAAAGTATTTAATAGACGTATTACATCCGTTAAAATTTTACTTTGTAGGAGGCCTTAGCGAGATTTAATAAATATCTTTATTGAAAGTTCACTCAGTAATCTGTAATATCCACTTTTAATTGTAAAAAATTGTATAAACTTGACAAACTTTAAAAAATTATCTGTCTCTGGGACAACTGCTGTCAACTACCTTTTCACGTGTTGCTGGTCCACGCAATATAAATTGATATCCCGGAGGAAAAGCCTACAACTCGGCTTTCCTGACAAATATAGGCGACCTCGCCTATAAAACATAAAACCTAACATAAATTATTCATAAGATAGACAGGCTTGCTTAATGACATAAGGTATCATAAGGACGTGATAAAGTAGCGTAAGTACATAAGGTATGATAAGTACAAAAGGTATGACAAGAACATAAGGTATCATAAGAACATAAGGTATGATAAGGACATAAGGTATCATAAGAACATAAGGTATCATAAGAACATAAGGTATCATAAGAACATAAGGTATCATAAGTGCATAAGGTATGATCTGGCATAAATATGCAAACCATAATTTTGCACTGGCACAAATCGGCTTCCTTGTCCCATTAAGTCATGAAGATGCAAACCATAATTTTGCACTGGCATAAATATGCAAACCATAATTTTGCACT